TCAGAGAAGAAGCCGCTGCTTCGTCCTCCTTAGCCACCTTCTCCAGCCACCCTCACGAGAACCAGGGAGCCTCATTATTTATTGCTAACCATGCATCATATCACTTTAGAGTCATACATCACAGAAAGGGGCAATACAATTCATTCTTGAACAAGTTTGATCATTCTGGTGTCTCATACAATAAAATAGGCAATTACTATTCTGGGAGGCATGCAAGTCCCCTGATAGCAGACAATAACCTACGTCACAGGGAGGGGTGTAGCGACAGAGGCAATACAATTAATAGGAGGGGGATGGATGACCTAGGGGTGTGCCCACATTTGTTGTGGGATAAACAGTGGTGTCTGCTTGATCTAGACAGCTGATAATGGCTACCTACCCTTGGTCACCCTTGGGTGGGTTTGCCCTCTCTGGTATCTCCTACAAGTTATTATCAGAAGGGAGTGGGCCCTACTTAGGGTGAGTCAGATTATACAGTCTAGATGGCTGATGTTAGGGAGAATAACCTCTGACCTACTTTCACTGACCGCCTAGTGAACAATCATTCTTAAGCTAAATTTGGCATATATTTTGGGGAGACAACTTAAGAGAAATCCTTCTGTTCCCCACAGGTACCTACGCAATCATCCTGAGATAATCTTTGAACTTTGAGTTAATTTTACTAAAATTACTTGCTTTGGCCATAGGTAACCCTGGTGGCATAAAGGTTATTCTTTGGACTGCTAACTGCAAGGTCAGCGGTTCCAAACTCCCACAGCGTCTGTGGGAGAAAGAAGTTTTCTACTCATAAAAAGTTAGTCTCAGAAACTCACAAGGGCAGTTCTACCCGCCCTATATGACTCAACTTGATGGTAGAGAGTTGGGTTTGGGGGACATTGCTGCCTCTGCAGTTTTTAGGACAGAAATCCTGAAGGTCAGCCACAAGTGCTGTTTTAGAGCAAATTGTTACCATGTAAAAACTCGTCAGGGGTCCTGAAGAATGAAAGTCCAGTCTGGGCTTCCTGGAGACCCCACCCCACCCCACCTCACAGGCGGCACTAGCCTCTAAGAACCTACCTGGAGGCACCGGTTGGGCTGGGAGAAGCTATGGAGCACCGGAGGGGCTGTTCTTGGCTTCTGGGAATGTCATTGTGGTTGCCTTGGGGCTCTTTCCTGTTGGTTTGGCTTTGGCTT